CCTAGAACCATCAGACATCTTCTGCCCATTTTCTACCTTGGCTATTATCTCTTGCTCGGTTTATAAGGTAAGCATGGTTCTTGACACTCCACTCTTTTTAGGCTTCATAATATTATGAATGTCTTTTTGAAATAAAAAGTTCAGAAAAGCACTCACAAAAATTCAGTGAACATAAATCAACTAGCACACGAAAGAATTATGTAAATGTGAGGTCCAAATGAAATTTGAAATTTTGGTGTTATACCATTAACGAATATTCAATAAGACAGTTAAACTCTCTTTAGAAAATAAAAACTGATGCAAAACTTAACAAGTGCCTGATAGTCTTGCGAAGACTATAAAAATTTATTTGTCAGAAAGGTAAACAAAAAGCTGGAATTATAATGGAGAGTTTCAAAGTTCAGTAGAATAATATCTGATTGGTATTGGGTAGAGTGTCTCCCACACTCTGAAAGGTTTCAAATCGTTACCTGGAGACAAGGGAAAACCAATTGGTATTTGTTATTTTATGTCACTTCTTTTTGTGTCTTTTTGTGATCTGTGAAGTGTTCATTATTCGATTTGTTTGTTGTCCGAACTGTTTGTTAATCAATCACGCACTGTATTCTTTAAGTTTGATTTTTGATTAATAATCTTTGGCTATATACACAATACAGATAATATAAAAACTGAAAGTTAGTCTGTGTATTTTTAATAATTTTTATCTGTATATATTCAATATATTAAAAGCAAAATGTTCTGTCACCATCACAATGTAAATTTAAAAATTAATTCAATTTACAATTTGAAAATTTCAAAACAACTTTCAAACAGTTCTTTGAAAACTTTTTTATTTTCAATTTAAAATTTTAATTTTTAGTGAGAACATTAATTGAATTATCAGGCTACCTAGTATTGACTAAATATGTTATATAAGTTAATTAAGTTTATAGAATGGTTTTTCCAGTTGATATTTCCTGAGGAAGGTCAATAAATTTAGTGGCTGAAAACGTTTGATATGTATTTTTGACTTTTATTTGCTGGAAATTTTGAATTTAGGTGTGACTTGCGATTAATTAAGTTCACTACATATTTGGGTATTTGAGTATTTTAGGTATTCAAATATTTGAGATCTGATGGAAAAAGTGATATTTGCCCATTTCTACTTATCTTTTAAGGTAATAAAATTCTGTAAAATCTGAAATTTACATGAAATTACAAATAAAACAATACTTAAAACATACTGCAATATTTTATTAACTTAAAAAAAAGTTAAAATTCAACATTTTTGTAAGTAGCTCAAGAGTCTCAAATATTGCCATACTTATTTGTTTAGATGCTTTTCTGGACTTATGCCGTGATGGAAACTGACTTAACAGACCATTTTCCTACAGTGGCTACTTTTCAGCCATTACAATTGAATGATTCAAGTCTTTAAAAGCAAATAGAAATATGAATAGATCAAATGATGATTATCATGCTTATAATTTCTATATTAAAAAAAAATTGGACCTGATTTTTTAGATAAACAGTTTGAGTCAGATATTGATTAATATAGAACAAGTATTTAAAACATTTATAATAATGGGAAACAGTAGGTTTTGAAGAAAAAAATCTCAAACAGCTATATTTGATTTACAATGCTTTAACATGAAACAGAAAAGAATGTAGCTTTTTGTTAATTTAAGAGAGATAATACCTCAGAAAATCTAATGGGAAAACTTAAAATTTAAAGTGGAAAAAAGTATTATATTTTAAAAGTTAATAAGAGAAAATATTTTCAAAAGCTAAATAATAAGTTATTAAGTTCATTATTATTTTGGAAAATAGTTTATGCATTTGACCCAGAAAGTTTGAATTGGAAATTTGAATGAGAGTGTCATATATTTCTGTTGAACATTCTCAGGAATTCTAAAGTAATTTTTTCTATATGTTACACTGTGAAATATACTCAAATTACAACTCATCCAGACAAACCTGGACCTTTGTTACACAAATAACACATTAAACAAAACCTGTATCTGGACAGTTGAAAAACATCATGAATTTTTCACAGGCAGTCTATCTGAAATGTGTCAGGACGTAGCAAAGCCTGTGATGGGCTTGAAAAGAGCCTCTTAGAGTGGGCAGAAGAATACAAAATTTGTCTCCTCGCGACATAAAATACTTTACCAATTAAAATATTTTTAAGAAAAACATTATTTTAACAAAAAATTTTATATTTTTGGTTTTGAAATCCTTTTATACTTGCACTTTTATTTTTAATGAAAACTTGAAAAGAATGGCACTGAGTCAGTTGGCAAGCCCAGTAGATCATAAATCTGCTTCAAGGTCTTCGACCGTGTAAATGTGTGAATTTCCATCTGTCCTCCGACCTCAAAATGATACAATGTAACAAATTAGAATAATAAACAGTTTATAGCAAACAGGTTAGAAAGTTCAGCTTATAAAAAAACCCATGTCGATCGCATCTCATTAAAATAATATATTGAGATACATTATTACTTTACCTCTTACATTATCCTGTAATGTCTTCAAATAATATCAGTTTTACTACATTTTAATAATTAAATGTGATTAAAATTATTTGTTGGGTAAGGTTAGAGATATAAACTCTGTGCCAGTGGTTGGAGCTCTTACACAACTTACTGGCACATATAACCCAATATTCTCTTTGGCAAAGTTCCTATGTTTATAACATAAAATTTAGGCCTTTTGTTCTTAGTATTATTTATTACTTGATGATGTTTAAAATGTTTCAATACTTAAAATCAGTGTCATGGGGTCAGGGTTGGATATTTAGAGTGGAGTCGGTAAAATTCTTCCGGTAACTTTGACCCCTGAGTTTTACTATTGGTAAAATATGAAGTACGAAAAATATTTTTTAAATTAGTATGCAAGAAAATTTCTTAAAAACTGACACTTTGATAAATTTAGATATCAAAAAGTCATTTCATACCAAAATTTTATGCATATCGCACGTGACATGCTCTATACTCTCAGAAAATAGTTTTTATTAATTTAAACGAATATTATTCGTGTCAATCATCTGTAGGAAATTCAGTGTTCTAGTAGCAGACGGAGAAGCAGAAATTATTTTATAGACCAAAATAATGATTTGATAAATTATGACAAGTGACATAATACATTGGTGTTATGTCACTTGTCAAACTGTTATTTTTTGTATTTTATTATATTTAATTTTTTCTTTTAAATGATTAAGTTAAATTAGTTTTCGATGATTAACTAATAACAGCGAAATTCATTTGGCCGATTAAGTCTTAGTATGTTTCTTTATGTACTTGAAAGATTTTTTAATGTAAATTGGTTATATACATTTTTTGATTCTCACCATAAATTTTAGAATAACTTTTTATAGAGAAATTTTACATAAAAATATTCAGATACCAAGTAGTATCTTTCCATTAAAAGGAATTGTAGTGTGACATTTTTAAAAAGGAAACGGTCAGAGTTGCACATTTCAAATTTGTTGAAGTCGGACTATTTGTTTAACACCACCATGCTGCTTAAATTCATATTTAAAAAGAAAATAATTCATAATTGAATTTATTTTATACATTAAGAACTAATGATAATTAAACCTCTTTAATGTCTTGGTTCCACATTACCTGAAAATACAACTGAAAGTGAAAATGACACAACTAGGTTTTTTTGCTTTTGATTCAACAGAATCTCACCCAAAAGCAAAGCTGAAAATATCTTAATCTTTCCAGTTTTAATCTGCTTTTCGGTTTGATCTCACAAGTAAGAAAGCATTTTGTAAGTGATGTTGTGTCTTCACCAAACCATACTAATGCCATTATTTAACAAATAATTTAAATTGGTATGATATACTTTAAATAAAACAATAATTGTAAGATATTATATTTTATGAACTTTGCTTATTCAAAATGAAACTCCCAATATAGAGGTCGCAATTTTCTCGGCATCCTTGCATTACAACTGTACTTCAGTTGGTTTTTGCAAATTTCTCTTATCTAAAGTTAATGTTTTCTTTTCTCCTTTAGTTTTTTAACAATTTATAGACTACCTGCAAACAATATAAGCATCAAAGCTACCAAAGCATCCCCCATTTGGAAAATAAGTTTTGAAAACATTCTATACTTTTATCTTTCATTAATTAATTAATAATTAGTTTAGTTAGAAATAAACTATTAATTGACGAAGGGTGAAATACAGAATTTGCCTTAAAGTAAGTTGAGTTGCCATCTTAATTTAAAAGAAAAAAATTAAATATAATAAAATACAAAAAATAACAATTTGACAAGTGACATAACACCAATGTATTATGTCAATTGTCAAATCATTATTTTGGTCTATAAAATAATTTCTGCTGCTCCGTCTGCTACTAGAACACCGAATTTCCTACAGATGATTGACATGAATAATAATCGTTTAAATTAATAAAAACTATTTTCTGAGAGTATAGAGCATGTCACGTGCGATACACACAAGATGGCAGCTTAATCACTTACTTTTAGACCAAATTCTGCACTTTATTTTTGGGTTAGAATTACACTAATAATTAATCTTTTAGATATGTTTGGCTGTAAATCAATAATTTCTATTACTAGAAACATTTTCAAAGCTTCTTGCTTCATCAATTTCCAGTTTGAATAATTTATTCAAACAGAGAGCTATCATTTTAAAAGCAACTAATGATGAACTAAGATGGTTTGAATATTTCAGATAATAAAAAGTATCGACTAAGCTTTTGACAAAAAAATAAATCTAAGCTTTTGATTCTATTTTTTGTTACAGTTGTATAATTATGGCATTATTTCCCATTTTAAGCAATTTCAACATTAATATAATTTATTTGAAACTCAGTTATATGGCTTTACTTCAGATGTAGATATTTTCCTCTTTAAATTTAATTTACTTATTTAAACTTTTCTTCATTTAGTCTGTTATCATTTTCAAATTTCTTATTTATTCATTTATTTAATGTAACTTATTATATTATATTGATTGACATTTTTTTCATTATTTTCTTAAAGGAAAGACAGTTTATCCCCATTAGCGAAATGAATAAGGGTACGAGCATCATAGAAAATTCGGATGATTGCATGCTGACTCCTCACACCATGTCCGTGACGGAGATATTACATAATTACTGGAAGATATATGTGAGTAGTATTTAGATTAGTACATTGATGATTCGAAAATGGAAATTGAGTAACACGTATGTGTTCGCTTTTGCAGTGTCGTCTTCGGCTGTCTTCCGCTGCTCTCCAGCGTTGGTTCGTCAGCTTTATCTCTCTGGTCATTCTGTGGTGCGCCACTTATTTGGTGTACTGGCTAAAGAATCCCGCCTCTGCCTCTGACATTGTCCAGTTCATGGTACCTCTGATAATACTGATATTACTATCGTCTGCGCTTGCCGAAGTTAACATGGAAGGACAACGGATGACGAGGGTAAATTCACGTAAAAAAACATATTTATTATGTGTACAGACATAACAACAAGTATTTATTAATGTATATTTCCTTATAGTGTATTTGTCCGACAGAAGAGAGGCTGAAATTATTGCAGTTTCTTTCTCAGAGCCCTCTGGTAATGCCGGTAAGTAGTAATTTCTGATAATAATACACTAGTTCATAAAATTACAAAAATTATTTGGTAGACATTGTTAAGTATTCATCGCGTATTGAAATGAAATAAATATGATTGCCAAGGACAAATGACAAATGTTTCTCACTTTGATGACATAATTCTATTTGATGACACATTCAATATGTTAGTTAAGAAAATATTGTATTCATTGTGAGGAGAGTTAAATTTTCAATAGAGTAATTCCAATTAAGGAAGCTTTTGTAATCTGCCGCTCCATTATATATCATAACCGGACAAAACGTACACAGCAAGGGCTTCGCAACCGGACAGATTCGGTTCCGTCACCGGTTTAACTTAACTTGTTTACCACATCTCTCACACTTAATATTGTTTTTGACAGATGTATGGTTTCCCGATGACTCACGGAACGATCATTACTGTGATATTTGCCATTTTGGTAGGATTCACCTCGAGGATAATAATCACCGAAATGACCAAATAAACTATCGATTGGCATATAATACTTTCTCCAATGTAAAATTCTCAATTTGTGATATTGAAATTTATGTTGAAATGTTTTCCAAATTATTATTATTAGATGATTATGTTTGAAGAGAGTAATTATATATAAGGAAGAAAGGCAAATTTAATTATGTATCATATTTAATGATAAAAATCAACTGTGGCAAAAAATATAAACGGAAACATGAACCAAAGCAATTAAATATAGATTTTTCTGTCGTGGTAACTATGAAATACAAAACCACTTGTATATATATGTGTGTGTGTATATTTTTTATTACATTCAGCAGCTAGTAATATGGTTCACGGCCACTCAATTTAGCAAAAAAAAACACTTCCTGAATGGAATAATGTAAGCCAATCAAAATATTTTTAAGAAAAAAAATTATTTTACAAAATGCACTTTAAAAAGTTTTTAAATGTTATATTTAGGAAATGAAAGCCAATTTTTTGCTATTTTAATTGTGCAATGTAATCAAATTAGAAATTAAAAAAGTCATTGAAAAGAGGAAAATGTATATTGAAAAGAACAAGATCAAAACACTCTGCCAAGGATAAATACTACATAACAACATCTCAAAACATTTACATTACAGTCTGTTATGATTTGGACTACTGAGTGTACCATAAACATTATAAGCAATATAAATTTTCCAGGTGGAAGTATAAATTGATGAATGAACGAGAAATATATTTGTAAATATTTAAACTTATTTGTGCCGCTAGATCTGTTTATCAAATTTACTAAAGAAATTTATTGTTGCGTCACCATTGTGGGATTCGTTGCAATGTCAAAAGTTAAGTTTGGTTAATTGTATCGAGAAAAATAAAATGTAACGTCGGATGTCACCAAACGTACGGCTTTGCCAAAGTTTGGAAAGCAATTTTGTTTGTTAAATGTCTTGCCACCTAGTACTTTAAACGGGACCAATGTAAGATGTTTAATCCAAATGGACTATTTTTGTATATTTCTTGTGACGTTTTAGCATTTTGATTATTCTATACACTGTTATTTAATACTGCAAAGCATAGATTAATATATTTTATATAATTGGAATCGAGGGTCAATCTGTACACGGGAAAACTCGCATAATATTATAAGGGTTACTTGTTTATAGCTATTTAAATGGCAAACGAGTACAATATTGCCTCACAATGGTGCAAGACATTCAAATTACATTTCTGTATCCATTGCAATATAAGTTATACATTTGACGGAATTTAATTTTTTGTATAATTCATTTTTAAATCTTGTATTGTTAAATATTTTGTGAATATATACACATGTATACAAAATTTTTATTGATGTTCTTTTATAAAGCTGACATGCTGAGATCATAATTAAATGATGGGAAAGTTTAAAAAAATAAAAAATCTGCATAAGGGTCTGTTTTTCTACACGAATACTTACAGATAGTGTTTATGTTAAAATTAAAAAATCATACATGCCCTTTGTTGGAGTTTGTTTAAATGGAATTACGAATTTCCACCAGATGCTTCGTATTCTAATGAGTTTATTGATAGAAAAAGATATATTTGTGATATGATCTCACACAAGAAAGCATCTCATTTTATTTTCTGATACAGATGGAAAATTCTTCTCCTTTGGTCTACCTACTAGAGTTTGATCGATTTGATAAGTGAGAAGGACAAATAAAAAAATGTGCTCGACTTTATCCATAGCAATAATTTAAAGGGAGTAATTAGGAATAATCCAAATAAGAGATGCAAAAAGGTATGAAATAAATTTCTCTAGAAGCTTTATTTATTTAGCGTATGGCTTATACAGTCGATCCCCCTATAAGATCATTGATTTTTCCGTTTTATCTGAATTACATGTTGTACGAGTCACTTAGATTTTACAAATACGTGTGCGGGGCTGTGAACGGCTCACATATTTGTAAAATCTAAGTGACTCGTACAACATGTAATTCAGATAAAACAGAAAAATCAATGATTTTATAGGGGGATCGACTGTACATGACACAAATAAAGCGTAACAAAATGGAGTACACAAAACCAGAAATGAAATAGGAGAATAATTGTGTATAGATTTACTGCTTCTTAAATTAAACAATTATAAAACTGTACAATTAGGTGACACTATATTCTTGTGTATATGTGCAGTGTTTAGAGCTGTATATCTAACTCGCTTATCCACTTCATGGCTTCTGAGGTGGACATTAGTATGTCACTCCAGTCTCCTGGGTAAGCCTGCAGTCTACACTCGCATGCAATGTGCTCAACAGTTTGACGTGGAGCACCACAGTCACACTTCGGGCCTGGAACTTTCTTCCATTTGAACAAAGTCTCTACACCTGCCATGGCCCGTCCTGACATGGTTTAATACGGTCCATATTTTGCGAGGTAAGTCAAATTCCTGGACTGGAGTTCGGTGTTGCTCACATCCGTAGGTTTAATCATAAAGTACCCTACACGTGATCCTTGGGTGGTGCTAAGTGAGCAACAGTCTTCTGGCAGTCTGGCAGCCAGTCTATCTGAAAAGATCTCCTGGCTACTCGCACAACACCACAAACTTTCTCTAGAAACAACTAAAGCAGTTATGGAATGCAGAATGCTTATAGCTGTATATGAGATTTTCACTCCTAAACAAAAATACTGAATACATATATCTAAATTCTAGATTTTGAATTGAAAGAGACCATTCCAAAGTGTGTGAAATCTTTTAATAAAGTTTGGATATTTAAAGAAATCAACCATCATACTTCTAAATTCAGTTAAATTTATACAATAAAATTATTTGTTAGCTAAATACCAGTATATATCAATGTTACTAAGCTGTCTATACAGGTTTGTAGAGATTAAAATATATCAGATTAACAGGATTCTGTGTTATTATATTTGGATACTTTTATTGGTTTCTCATTTACAGGAGATACTTGTTACAGTATAATCCATAAATTCCTGCAAAATGGCCAGAATGATCATCATTTACTCTTATTCCCTAAGGTATGTCCAACGAGAGGGAAAAATGTCTCATACAGAACAAGTCTACAACATGCATTGTATTGATATCACATGCCTTTATCTTCTAAAGGGGATATATACATTTACTGCATGCCTGGTCTTTTATTAAATTCCCACATCTGTCAATCGATACTGACGTATCTTGCTAAACGTGTTTCAAACACGTGCTTGTTTACATTGCTTTTATCTCTCAAAATTACATCTTATCGGAAATCGCATTTTGTAACTTTTACATTTCCTAAATGTAATTTTGAAGTCAATTCTAGGCATCCGATAACCAGAGAGAACCCAGAATGGAGATTCTCATATTTCTGGAATTTTGAATGCAGATATAAGAAATCTTGCTTAAATTTATCAAAGTTTATTTTTAATATTCTTAAGAATATTAAGTTTAACTTATAATTTTGATTTTAATAAAATTAATTAAGAAAGAAAGGAGGAAAAAGAAAACATTACCAGTTATCAAACATCAAGAGGGAAAAAATTAAATGGAAGGTTTATAATAGATACCTTTCACTTTTCACACTTCAGTAGAGGCAAGAGAATAAAGTTGATGGTAAAGGAATTTTTTTTAGATGTGTAACTTATAAAAATGAGAACAGGATTAAGAAAAGTTGACTCCACAGTTCTGCATTTTCCCACTCCTTATGAAAAAAAATTATTAGTTCAAATGGAAGAACATTAATTTAGTTATAAAAAAGTATTGTAATCTTGAACTGTTTATAAAATAAATGACTGTTACTGTCAATAATAACTATTTCTAAACAACAAATCCTATATAAATATCTTTTTGTTTTGAAAAATCCCTCTCTAGTTATTTTATAATAAGTCTGCCCGGATTGGTGCCTTAATAAATTACCTTAATTTTTTCACTCTAATAAATTACAAAGAATGAAATTACTTTCTACTGTTATTATCTAATCTTTTCCTTGAGATATACATAAGAGAAGTTTGACGTCACTTGTGAATCTGACACTATCAATCCAACAAATTGCTGTTTATTTCGAGTAATTCTTATGTAATTTATTAAATGTATACCAAATACAATATTCCCCGCCTCTACCATCAATTGCAAATGTCTCGTTAAGAGAGCCGTCGTAAATCGAAGTTTAATTTTCTGTACAGTTACGCACTGAGATACTGTTGTACGGTATGCGAGTCCAGACACGTAATAGAAAATTTATGGTGGTGATAGGCGTGAAGCTTATGGAAACTGAGAAATGAATGAATTGGTCCCGAAGTCTGGGGTACAATTTTTAGCTGTGACCAAAGTTAAAAAGTCATTTCGTTAGCGTAAGAAAATTTAACTTTCTAACGCTTATTTCGAGGAATATCAAATTCGTCAACATTCTCGTTAAATAATGAATAGTAAATTACGCCATTCGTTATCAATTGCTATGTAAATAAATTCATTTTTCTAACTTACGGGTTGTCGCTCCTACGAACCCCACTGACGATTCGAATGTACGAAATTTAAAGGTCATTTGTTTTAACTCTGACAAAATCTCATATTAGATTCGAACATTAAATATTTTTTTCTGATTAGTTTTTATCTTAAACGTTTGTCTGCGCCATTTTCCATTTGTCGGGTATAAAAACATTTCGTACAATCGTCAAAAATAGCGGATAATGTAACATTTAGGTAAATTCTTGTTTTTAAATCTTTCAAAGTAGTCTGTCACAAACGCCCGACACCTGTTTCTCTGTTACGATTCACCCCCTGTTATAAACTAAAAATTCCAGCAACTTTTTAACGACGAATTTCGGTATTTCCTAATTATTATTTTATTGTGTAAAATTGGAATAATTTGTCTAAAATCTCAATTATGGGTTTTATTGAAATTCTAATGATGGAATATACAAAAAGAACACACAATAATTTACAAAGAATATATTAAACAACTTTCAAAATTTACAAGGTAAAATCGAAGCATTCATTCGCATCAACTAAATATAAAACCAGTCATACCCTTTCTCACCAATGCAAACACGAGATATATATAATACTATAAAACATGGGCCAGTATAACATCGAAGAGTCCACCTTCTTGCAGATTAGAAGTACATATTTCCAATTTCATCACATTCAAATAGTGGATGTGCGGACGATGCTAATTTGGCGTCTCTACCACCGAAATGGAATATTTTATTCCCCCCTTCTCCACTTCAAACGATAATTTCCTGTCTGCTTCTAGCGTCATTAATTCTTTCCTCGTCTCTTTCTCCGTCTTCTCCGTCGCGCCCACTGCCCACGATTCGAGATCCGAAGACCCCATAAACAGAAACGCCACTATTCCTATCAGGTAAAACCCGCTAGCGGTGTAGAATACTAAACTCCATTGCGCCATGCTGCCTTGCTGTAATTAAAGAGAGGAACCCTAAAATCACTCGCGCTCTCGTCTACTACGATGCAAATTAATTAAAGATTCGTCAACTTACCCCCTTCTCTAAAAACAGACCGGCTACCAAAGGAGCGAGGAATCCGGTGATGCAAGCAAATCCGTTACAGACTCCAAATAGAGTTCCTGAAAGGCGATTTGTGTTAGTATCGAAAATAGCGTTATAACGGAGGATTGTTATAATGTGTTGTGGGTGTTCGACCTACCTGCGTAATCGGGTGCGATGTCGACCACGATGGGCATATCGCCCCCTCCTATGAAACCCAGAAAACCCAGTGACAGTATCAATAGAACAATAACCATCATGCTGTTGCATTTAACCAGTGGAATGATGATCAGGCACGCGGCAGGCCCCATAAGACCTAAACAATACGTTTTGTTAGAGTTTGTTGTGTGAAAATTATTATTTTCGTTATACTTACCGATCAACTCGAATACTTTTCTTATCGTCGTGATTGGCAACACTTGTTTCTTTCTCAAGTAATCGGAGAGCCATCCGGACAGAGCCAAAGTTAGACTTTCGGACGCGTAGACGATGGCGCTGATAAATCCGTTCTGTGGGTAACATCATTTTTGTAAGAAAAAGGAATTTCGTGTAAACGAGACGTGCACGAAATGCAACGCACTTACTTTCTGTATTGGGAAGTGGAGAACAGATTCCAAATATGCTGGAAGTTTGGTGAGAAGGGTGTAAAATCCCCAAGCCCAAGAAAATTTAGCTATGGCCACGGCCCAGACTGCCGGAGAAGTCAGTATTTTAGCCCAAGGAATTGGTCTCTTCTAAATGGACAAAAATTTGAGTTTTGGTGTACGCAGTTCTTTTATAATTTTAAATATGCACCACAACTTACCTTCTTTTCCGGGGATATGTTTGGGAGATTCTGTTGTATGTATACCAATTCCTTCATGGATATCTTAGGGTGATCTGCCGGGCATTCGTACACGAATATGACGAGCAGTACGACGACGATACAGCCAGCTGCACCTGAACGTAAGAAACGTTGTTACGAGTGTCAAACGTGGTAACGCAGTAGGCGATAATGGAAAACTTACCGAAAACGTAAAAGGCGGAAGGCCAACCTCCCGCGAAACCATACTCGCATAAATAACCCGTGATGACGGTGGACAACACTGTCCCCACTTGGTTACCGCTGATGCAGATGGAAACTAATGTACCCCTCTCCTGAACCGGAGCCCATCGCGCGAATAGGGTATACATAGCCGTGTAACTGATACCCTAAAAGTCGAAATTTTTGCTTTTACCATGGTTCCATTTTCAAAAACAATTTGGAAATTCAGTGTAAATCTTACCTGAGACAGACCGGTCATCACTCTCAACGAAGTAATGACGGGAATACCCATGTTGGCACCGAACGGTGTGGCCAAAACTGTTAGCGACGACAGCAGAAGTGAACCCGCGAAAATTCTCTTGGCCCCTATCATGTCGGTAAGCCACCCTCCCAACAGTTGCGTAGTAATGAAGCCATAGTAATAAGCTCCCAAGATAATACCCTGAACGGAGGGACTCCACATGAAATATCCCTGGAAAAAAAATCAACAAAATATTGTACCAAATCTTGGCTGACGAAATTTATAAAGGTCATCACGCGATTGGCTTACCTCTCGATACCTATAGGTTGTATTTTCGTAAGCTAGCGTATCCGGACATTCGTCCGATAGGGTAGTGTTAACTTCGTGAGATTCCAAAGCGGTTAAATTGACCATAGCCACAATGGCTAAGTTGAGAACGACTCTATGAGTGTAGAGAAGGCACAGACTCCAGAAGGTTAAAAATGTCAGCACGTATCTGGTGGGGATCCATTCTGAAAGTAGAAACGACTTGATGTATACTCTAAGTTTTACATGGGTATTCACCTTCAACTGCTTCAAGTAGATTCCAAATTTCTGGCTTATTTTTTTAGATTATGAATAATTCGTACAATTTATGGTGTTGGAGAGGGATTCTTCTGTGTGTCTTGTTCTAGAAGCAGTCGAGAACCTAAACGTACCTCTCGTAATAAACGCGTTATGTGTAATCGATCTCCGCATTTCGAATAACAGAATAAAAACAAACACGTTAAATTTGGTTTATAACAATCTGTTGCAGAAGCGATCGTAGGATTCGACGTATGATTGGTCAGACAGGGATATAGACAATACGATTGGTAGATTATCGATGACGCAATGTTCTCGTAGTGTTGGCGCTCCGTGTGAATCGACCTTGACTATTTTTTTTTTTTTTCACTTTCCCAGATCCCAACTTTTTAAAATCGAAATTATTTAGTAAGAATTTCAACTACTGTATTAAATAAAATTGTCGACACTTGATTAAAATATGGCGAAATTTAAGGCTAGTTATTCTAGTATAGCGGGACCTCTAGGAGGTCGAGAAGGGCTCAGAAGCTTAATTTTCTGAGGCCTGCAGTATATCGAAAATACAGAGGATGGTTAGAAATTTGTATTCTGTTTCTTAGATAATTAAATCTAACAAGAAACGTGATTTTTCTTGATACACAAGAAATGTTTTTTTTATCAGACCGTGCCGCGATATCCCGAGTAATTTTCAAAAAACTGGACTTACCTGTGGGTTTTTCGGCCGTGGTGGACGACTTGGATTCCATCTTGTCTAGTGATGCCATATTTTGGATATTCGTATGGTCCTAATTGTCACTGCAAAGAGAACAATACTTTATATAGTCATTTGTAACGCACTAACCGGCGTGATATTAGCTGATAAAGTGGAATATCCCTGATAAAGCGGAATATCCCTGATAAAGCATTCATTATCAATATCAAAATGACAAGTCGGATTAACAAATTTTAGGAGATATTCTCCTAGCCACCGTTTAGTCACAGCGGGTCGTGTAATTCTCGTATTTCTTTCGTGTGGGATCCTAATCACATTTTACTCCTGATTTATTGCACAGTTTCGCAAAAATATGTATTAAATATTGCAAAAATGTGCGCATAAATAATATATTTATTCGATTCGTATTCTTATGTAAAGTTGTTGTTGTTATGTTATAGCCGGGTGTTAGCGAGTCTAACGAAATTTCGCGTTGCGTGTTTTTCGACTTTACAAAATCGAAATCGTTACGTTTGTTGAACCCCTCTTGCTAAAATATCAGAGAAAAATTCCTTCGTAGGAATTTTCCTTCAAATAAGGCTCCAGGTTGAGTTACAGATTCGTACATTAAGCATCGTAAGGAAAGAAATGAATCACTATTGATTCACTTTAAAGGGGTATTAACGATTCGCTTTAAGCCGAGTCCATAAATTATGTAATGCAAATATGTGGGTGGGTATTCGGGCAATCGTTACAAGGGTGAGCGTGTGTACAAAAACGTTACGTCTCAACCCTGGGTAGGTAGCAGAATGATTCCAGTTTTGCTTCCGAAGTGTTGCTAGCGAACCGTACTGTTTATATTACTGTTTTTTTCGCGTCATACAATAAAATTATACGTTCGGTACCCCGTGCTGGGCATTATTCCTTAGTACAATTAAGAGGATCGATCGAGGATACGATTACGTAATTTACGGATCACCTCAATATTAAAGGGAAATTCGAAATATTTATTATTGTAGCCGTCTTCGAAATGTTACAATTAGCGAGGTTGAGGCCGAAGATTTAAATTATTTTTTTAAATCTGTTAACTGTATTCCTAAGATAGTACTTAACAGTAATAAGAGATGTTTATCTCGTGCTCGTTTACTTTGTAGTAAGTGAGCGTGAAGACTACAAGCATTTTACATCGAATTTTCAGTTTTGCAATATACAGGGTGCTTCAAAAAATGTTAACAATATGGAAGTAACTTGTCGAATTTGCAATGTAGTGCAGTACGTTGCAAATCCTCAAAGTACGACCCCTTCTCCATATAAGTGTATAAACACCCTGTATAAGTATGGATAGTACAAACTCAGGTGGTCAGTAGGAGCATTTGTTTAAAAAACAAAAAGTATTGTTGATTTAGAAAGGGGTACGTGTAAATACTAGGACGCGTTTAAACATTAACGTAGACGATCTGTGATAACAGCTGTTGTTTAATAAAGTATTATGATAACTATTATAGACGCGCTTCTAATTAAATATACGCTAACACAATATTCTCTTATTGCAAATGTAATTTGCAGTATTACAGAAAATACCAAGGCTGCAGTAGTAGCGAGTAAGAATGATATTTTGTCTGCAATGATTTTTTTACTCGTATACGAAAACGAATTAACGAAATTTAACAGAATTACTAAAGAAATTGTCATATTTATAGATTCGTTAAAGATAAAACGATTTTTTTCCCTTTCTGTTTTTGTATTTCCTTGCCGTTTAGATACTAAGTAAACGGAGATTAAGGTGTCATTTGCCACGCAAGCAGTTAAATAGCTAGCAGTAATATCTACTTATTACATAATTTTCGTTTGTATGAAGCAATTTATTGTTAATCCATATAAAAATATCGAAGTAAATTTTAAAAGATGTGGTAAAGTATTTTTCTCGTATTTTTATACCGACTGACAATTTGCTATTGCTAATATTTACTAACAGTTGTTCTAAACTATTTTTTTTTGTATACAGTTACTATATACAGTACTTAATATTTTGGATAAATGATTAAAATTATCATTAAACTATTTTGTTTAATGCGTTAATGCCCCGAATATCAGTCAAGTTACGCAATTGTCGTGGTTTAGAATTAAACGCACGTGTCGAGTTTTTGGTGCTAATTCCATTTTAAATTAGCGAGTTCTCTTCAGTTTTTAGCTCTAGTGCAAATCTACGTTGTCACACGATTAAATAATGACGCGAAATTATTGTACTAACCAGCTATTTTATCAATTTTATCTAAGCCGAGTAAAAGCTGTTAACTGCAATAAATAGACGGAGTATAAACAAAGCTGCTAATTTCGTGCGCTCCCAAGGAAACTTAAGCTAAGTTCCCGATCCCGTGTTACGTAAATACAAACTGCGACAATACCAACACAGTAAACAGAGCTTCGTTTTAACTAGAATCACAATAAAGTAGTACAATCTGCATATTTTACGATGGAACCACGAAAAACGCGACTCGTCTATCATCATTGGTTATCGTTTTACATCAAGAGGAATCGAACAGAAGCTAATTTTCAGAAGTGTCAATTCAGATTTTTTATGGCCATTTTACTGTACGAAATAATCTATCTGAAGTTAAAATTACGGTGCGTTTGATAGAGCACTTAATTGGTCTTCAATGGTGGCACCGGGTTAGGAAAATCAATCTCTTGGTATCTCAGAAAAGTAGCATATGGAAGTTTATCTTTTGGGTCGCGACTTATTTTTTCTTTTTTTTTTTTTCCTTTTATAAACAAGACTTTAGCTATATACTTAAGAAATTATCCGGCACGGCGCTAATTCTTTTTTGGTATTTTTCCACCGAGTTTTCTTATCGGGATCCATTACGGTTCAAACGTCCTCGACGTTCAATGGAGGAAGGGAGTGCCACAAAAAATTCACTCGTCCTTCCTGCTATTTGAGTGTGGCTTAAGAATTTTTTTTTCCTTTCCTTCGGACGGAATTCGTTTATCTAACGTAAAATGCATGAGGTACAGGGAGGTCATATTACTTATCTGATCATTTTCATCACCGCTATTTGCCGTATTTATATATATATCGATCAAGCGATTATGTAGCAAACTCTTCTTTGTGCTCTTCTTTTCGAAAACTACATCCAACCTTTAAGCAAGGTTAAAGTCGAACGTTTCTCACATAATGTTTTTTTATTTTTATTTTTTGTTTATTGCTTGGAGAAAAAAGACAGGAAGGAATTACTTACTCGAAAATTATCCTCTTTGTATCCCAATTAACATAAATTTCTTTAGATTTATCCTCTTTATCGGAAGGTCATCTGCTGAATTTTTGTGCTTTTTCTTACTCGAGGTACCCGATTTTTTTCCGTAAAATGGCTAATCTGGTAAATTTCCGCACCGGTCGAGTGTAGTCAGAACTTGCCCCTCCCGCTTTAAACGAATTTATAATTAAGATTTTGGTAGCTGTAAAGTTTCCTCCCGCGTTAAACCCAAAATTTCAAGAGAAATTAAAGAAGCAAACTTACTTCTTGGGGGTTCAGCAGTGGGAAAGATTGGCAAAATTTTTCGGCATCCGTAGCATGAAGCGGGTGGAAAGTGCAGCCAAATCTAACTAAGAAAGAGGGAAAACACTTACAACTAGTGGAAAGATGAAGGACAAACGAAGACTAATGTATCATCCGGTTTGAATGCGGGTGACGTCAACGGATCCAGGGCCGGACCGTCCAATTCGGTGATGCCATGGAGAGCACGGGTTCCCTTAACCGTTCCGG